TGGTCTCAGTTCCTTAATAGCCCAGAATCTGACACCAGGGATTCTCTCTTGATCCACTGCTAAGAAGCACAAATCTAGCCAAGTGCGATGCTCTGATGTAAACTCTATCACTAGTTTTTAAATGAAAAGTTCACAGAGGATGCATACCAGCGCAGATTTTGCCATAGACAAGGAGAGGAAATATCAGTAATAGTGGAAGGTAGCACAGTACGAGAAAAAGGATATAAATAGGTAGAGCAGGGCTACAAAACTGTAAAAATAAAAGCTGAAACTAGCAGCTGAACATTTTTCCATTAGATGTACAATGGTAACTCAAGGACAACTGAATATTCTGGATATCAATGAACAGATTCCCACTGAGCAATGCAGAATGAATGTGTATCACACCTCATTACTTGGACCTCCCATGGTTTAAACCAATCAACATAGCTCCTACAAACTGTGTAGTGATTCACTTCTATTCCTAATAGAGAATAATGTGCACAAGACACAAAATTTTGCAGTTTTTGTGTACCCTCCACCCCACTTTTTTTATGCCAGCTATCAGACTCTAAACTATTCTTTTATTGTATTGTGTTTTGCATATTCCACTGACCTGCATAAAAGCACACCTCTGGAATAGGATGTTCTCTTAAACCTTGTTCTAAACAAAACATTTCTTTTAGCTCTGATACAATTGCCTGTACAATTATTTTGAGTAGAGCAATATATACATTTTAATGATTAACATATTCTTGTTTTGTGGGGGAAAAGATCATTTAAAGTTTCAAAAGCTCTTCACTAAAAAATCAATACATAAACAAATAAAAAAAGCTTAGAATTCATCTGGGGAAAAACAAATCTGCTTGAGGGAATATTTTTGGTAGTTTTGCAACTCATAATTTGCTTCCAAGGGCAAACTGCTAGTTTCAACTAAAGACAGGATGCATTATTTTGCCAAAAACCACAGTCCATTCTATCAAATCCTTTTTAATATATAATTATACTTCAGAATATGATATTCACCACCTATAAAGGACTCTTTTGTTAGGTCTTTCTTTTGCACTTTGCAAGACAGGAGCACAGCATAATAAGGCCTGTGCTGTTAAGGCTGTACTGAGACTTTGTCTGAACTCTGGCCTATAAGACATCAGCTGGGGGAATAGTGCTTTTTTATCTGATTAAACACAGTCTTAGTTTGCAAATGAGTCTAATGCTTTAGTTTTTTTACTCTGAGTAACTTTTAAGTCAAGGAGCATATAGAAAATATGTGTTTCAAGGCTTGCCGTGCCAAGTAAAAGTTCACTTGAATCACCGCTAGAAATTAAAATAGTACACTCGCTATCCAAGCTAATACTGTCAAATTGGCATACAATATTATCTCTCTGCTTGGGTAATTTATAAATAATTGACAGTGCTCCTGACTTGGTGGGGAATGCCAGCTATGGGAGAAGGCAGGGAAGGAGAATGTGCTTTCCTGCCGCTGCCCCTGCTGCCATGGTCCTGGGCTGAGCCTAGCCCCGATGCAGCCCAACTGGAGAGGACAGGAGCTCCCCTCACCCCCAGGACAGTATGGACAGCAGCAGGAGCAGGCTGGGAAGTGGGAGAGTAAGAGACATGGCTCTGAGCACAGAGGAGAAGGAAGCAAGGTAACTCTTACCTTCTTCAGGATTTTCCCCAGCTGCTATTCCTGCAACCATGCCGCTGCACCTGCTCTGGATCTGGCCCTGTTCTGTGGTAGCACCACATGACTAGGGATCTATTCATAGCGAGGGCAGGACAGGTGAGCACAGTAACTGCTTTAAGTTTCCAGAGCCAAAGGTACTTACCAATGAGAGTTTTGCTTTTCCAAGTCAGTATTAACTCCTCTGGCATCACATTAGCTTTTGGAGAGAATCATAGGTTTGGAAGGTACCAGGGTGGGATCCGGGGGGGCATGTAATATCATGGTATACACCCTTTGGTTCCTGCTGCCTATTCCTTGGCTTCTCACTGGGGTGGTGAGAGCAGAGGTGGCTGTGAGGGAGCTACTGCAGTTCCCCCAGGCTCTCTCCAACTCAGTGCTAGCCCTAGATAACTATTTCCACACCCTGAGCAAAGGAGCCTCCTGAGGAGTGGGGGACAGGGGGAAAAGTACTCTGAAATCAAGGTATGGGAACCTGCTTCTCAGCCAGAGCTCACATCCACTTCAAAGCAGTAGCCACAAGGGGAGTTCAAGCCATGTCAGGTAATACCCCTGCCTCTGTGGTTAGACTATCAAGGCACTGTTGGAAGCCCTAAGCCGACAAGGGATGCCCAAGATAGCCAGGCAGGGAGAGGGTACATAAAGAATAAACCCACATGATTCTGAGAATGCCCCCAGCTGATTCAGGGCGGTGGAGAGGGTTGGGGGAACCCAACTCCTGCTCTGCTCCAGCTGGAGGCTGTGGAGAGTAGATGGGCAGGGTGTCAGACTTATCTGCCACACTCCCCTTCTCCAAATCCTGGCTCTGCTCATGGAATGAATTACGGGTTATCTGTTCTGACCCCCAGTATAACTGCACTTCCTTGAAGAGAAAGCCAGTGCAAGATGGTTTGGGAGTCAGACATATAGAAGAATAACACAAATTACAGATAGGGTTTTCACCTCCTGCAGCAAGTTTTCTATGTATTTGCAACCAGAGCTCTGATTCAACAGCATGATAGGATTCTTCTCTCCCTATTCTGCCTCCCTCAAAGTAGTGGAGGAGAGAATGCAATGTGTGGTAATGCAAAGGGAAGATTTTCTCTTTTATTGATTTGTATAAGGGGTTCTGATTTTAGGACACTGAACTCTGAAGAGTATGTACGCTGCTGGTACACGCTTTATAACTTTATAAAAATGTTCCCCTGGAGGAAGAAAATGCAAAAATGTAATTTCATTTTCAGAAGATATTAAGATTATGATACCAATTGGTAGGAAATTCAGGGGTTTTTCTTCTCCACAATATCATTAAATGAATCAGATTATTTTTAAAAGATTATCTTTGCTTGTATTGGCTTGTGTCCTACCCTCACACAGTTAAAAGTTTTCCTTTACACTTATTCAGATATATTTTGGAATTCACAGTGCGGAAAAAATGACTGTGCACTAACCTAATATACCTCCAGGTCAGGGTGTTAGGATAGGAGAATGCATTTTACATTAGCACTAATAATAGAAGTTCCAGGGATCCAGAGGGCTTAATTTGGACTTCTCTGACCAACCTGGCTTTTCTTCAGGCTCACAGGACTCTATTACCTGACTTTATAGCAGCCTCTTGGGAATCTATTACTTTATTTTACTCCCACTTCACAGGACTCTTGTTGCCTGATCAAATATTGTTCTGTGTCCTAAGGGAAATGAAGCTATTAATCCCACTAAGAAGCTAGCCTTGTTTGGTGTAAAACAAAAAGGTGAAGCTATGGTTAAAAAAAATCTGAGTAATCCAATAACTCAACTGGTTGTAGCATGCATTTCCTTGCTGGAAACTAGACTACATGAGCAAGTTAAAGTTGAGCCAAAGCAGCTCAGGAAACTTCAGGTAAAATACATATGATCATACAAGGTAAGTTGAACCAAGGATAGTTCATTTCCAAGCTAGACACTCTAAGTATTGTTAAGATTGTGTTTTGTTATCCTACTCCCTTGCCAAAAAAGTGACAGAGTCTTGTATAAACAAACTATAGGGGTGGGTACTACACTTGTCATCTATCCTTAGGATAGACAGTGACAGGTATTTTGGTTAAATTCTGGTCTTATGTATTTTTATGTCAGCCATCATTAGAAATGAAAGCAAAAACACCATTTCTTCTGTAAGTGTATTTATTAGTGTTGGTTCTCTTAAGGAAGAGGAGGAAGGAAATACTATTACTATACAGCCATACAATCCTGAGACAACTTTAAGTCAGACAAGAGACAAGAATATCATAGCCAATTGCTTTTAGATAGTAAGAGTCAAAATTTTGTCTTAGATTCTTGCTCACAAATCCTTTTAACATTAGGATCAATTCCAAATACAAACAAGAGTAGAATTTGGCTTTGAGAAATGTAAGAGAAGTGGTAGAGTAAGAAAATGGAGGTGAAAATTCTTATGATTCTAAAAAGCCTTCCACAGAAACTAATCATTTTCTGCTAGTGACAAACCCTAAAGATTCAGAAAATCAAAGAAAATGCTGAAGCTTCTCAAAACTGATGTAATTGCAAATGCTGTGACTTAAAAATGAAAGTTGATCCACTGATCAGAGTAAGTCAATTGTTAAAATTAGAAGCATTTCCCAAATTCAATACACATAGTTTGAGCTAAATTGTTGATTTCAGTTCTCCAAAATGAAACTGTCCACCACTAATCTTTCCTTATGTTGAAATCAAAACTTGCTCATCAGTGGCTTTCTTTGTACTCTCTCTGTGCAAGAGAAACATAAAGAACAAAACTCTTGCCTTCAATGACTCCCAAGAATTACATCAATTAAAAAAATTGGAGATTTTTTACTCATCTTGCCCAATTTAAATACAACTACTAAACATGTCTTTTAGCTGAACACATCATTTTGTCTAGAAGAGGTTACCATTGAAGAACCTAGAGATAATGGATGAAAGTCTTCTCTTGCCAGATGTAACGGTACCTTGACAAAACAAGCAGATCTCATTTGCATGGGCAACACACAAAGTACAGAGATAATTTTGGACTGTTTTGGGTCAAAATTATCTAGTCTTGGATGAAAATTTAAGAAAGTATTGGAACTTTAGGACAGAATAGTATGCTGAATACAAGTGAAGGGCAAACCGTCACTTCAGTTTCCTATCGCTGCAAGATGCCTCTTCATAGAAGCCAGACACAAGGATTTTTTAGGGTGATATCTTTTATTGAACCAACACATAGTTGGTCTAGTAAAAAATATCACCCTAAGAAATCCTTGCTGCTTGCATATTTTCTGGATCATCATAGCTACAACTTATTCTTTGAACACTATAAGCCAGACAGCA